CTTTAGACCATATATTAATTAATTCACATTATTTGAGTAATTAAAGTACCTTAAAATATGACATAATTATTTTTTAAAATAATGAGCCGCAATTTTCATAAGTGATCATTTCATATATACTATAAATTGTTAAATTAATTTCCCCAAATAGTAAATAGATTTTTTAGAGAAAAATAGTTACTATTTAAAAAATAATCAAACCTTTATATATATATATATATATTTCAAACCAATATACTACATTTAATCTCTGCAAAAAAATGAATTTTTAATAGAAAGATGCCAATGTAGTGGACTAAAATGGAAATTATGTTGCCCTAATAAACATTGCTTTTGAGGTACATCACCCTAGCTCTCATTTATCTATATGTTAGGTTATAATAGAACTCAGCCAAATAGTGAGTGGTGTATGATGTTAATTTTCGTTATGTGTAATATCACATTCAAAGTCACTATTATTATTTACATAAATATTATATCATGTATAATGATATTGTTTTTAAAAGTAATGTAAAGTTAAATATATCACCAAACATAATTTAAAAACATTGCATACATTAAGAAAAATGTTTTTATCATTACCACATGAGTAAGGTTTATTTATAATTTGAACCAAAATCTGTATATATTGGTTAGCCAGTATCGATGATACGATTTATGGGGACATCATTCTATATGTTAATACAGAATGTCTTAATCATAGTGTTGAATTTTGATCAGTAGCACTACCATGTGCCTTGGCACACCTAGCTAGGTGTGCCAAGACAGATTTACACGCGCCCCTCACTCCCCAAAATTAGAGAAATTAAGAGAGTGTAGTTCACATCCCTAATTTTCTTTTTTTAATTGAAAAATGAGACATATTACATAAATTAAAATATCATTAATTATTTATATTAAAAAAATAAAATAAAAATACCAAAATTCATAATTTTTCATTCTCTATAAATAGAGACCACATTTGATAGGTTTTTGAACACAACTAATTTTTTGTTTATAATATGTTCACCTTATTGTGTATTAACATGTTCATCTTATTCTATAACATGTTCATTTTATTATGTAACATGTTCATCTTATTCTATAACATGTTCATTTTATTATGTAACATGTTCATCTTATTCTATAACATGTTCATTTTATTATTGTAACATGTTCATCTTATTTTATAACATGTTTATCTAAATTTTATATGTGAAAATGTAACATTTTCATCTTATTAGAGAGAATTTTAGTTTGTGAAGGTGGAGGATATTCGATCGAAAGACTAATTTATGAAATTTCTTTTACATTCTACTAGTTTTTTACTTTCATTTCCTATAGTATGACTATTGCATAAATTTGTGTTCTTAACTGTAAATTATGGTTTATTATTTCAGGGCGGAGATTCTTGCATTAAACGAGTGAAAGTCGAGCAAGAAATTGACCAGAATTTTGTGTATGAAGTGGAAATAAGAGAAAATAATGTGAGAGCCCGTGATGTAGATATGAAATCTAATCATGTTCATCTTATTCTATAACATGTTCATGTTATTCTATAATATGTTCATTTTATTATATAACATGTTCATCTTATTCTATAACATGATCATTTTTTTATGTATCATATTCATCTTATTTTAGAACATGTTTATCTAAATTTCATCTGTGAAAATGTAACATTTTCATCGTATTTTATGACATGTTCATCTTATTCTATAACATGTTCATTTTACTATATAACATATTCATTTAATTATAAATTTATGTCATAATCTTTCAATAAGATAAATTAATTGTAAAAAATATTAAATTAATTGTGTTCCAAAAAATATCAAATGTGGTCTCTATTTGTAGAGAATGAAAAATTATGAATTTTGGTATTTTTATTTTTATTTTTTGATACAAAATATGAATGATAATTTAATTTATATAAAATGATATATGAATTTCATTATCCAATAAAAATGAGACACATGTCCATTTAAAAAAAAATGTCTTACCTCCTTACCTTTTCTTTCTTTCTCTCTCTGCGCGTGGGGGTTGGATTTTTGACAAGAAATACAATTTAAAGCCACTCTCTTTATTTTTACGTGTGTTTACTCTCTGCCATGGCACACCTAGCAAGGTGTGCCATGGCACACCTAAGTATTTGCGGAATTTTGATGCTTCATAATTCTATGTGTTGTGCTTCGTAACGTACGTGTCAATTTTTTTGTAATCCATGTAGATCTGAATTCTATTCATACCTATTAGGACATTTAAAATCATAAAATACTTTATTAACTTAAATTATAAATATATTTGGAAGTTAATAATATTTATATTTATTATCATTTTTTTTTAAATATATTAATCATCTTTTGACGAGTTTTGATTTGATATTTTTATTGTATTTTGATTAGAAAAATTATTATAAATAAGAATGACAAATCATACAAGTTCATTTTAAATATAAATAATAATGTAACTTTTTAAACGTGTTAAAAATTTTAATTAAAAAATTCTTACACTTTAATAATGTAATTTCGTAAGAGTATTTAAAATTTAAATATTTTATTTTTCTTACATTTTGTTAACCAGCATTCGTGTAATTACGAATGTTTTATTAATTCATAGTTATTTATGAATGATACATTCATACGTATTCTAAAACAAATATAGGTGAAATATGTGTCAATATATACAATAATTTATGGACGACTTTGATGATCGACCCATCGTTGACGCATACACATAAATTATTATTTTTGAAGTGTCCATCCAGCTTAAAATAAGCTATACATTCTTTTCCACCAAACATGCAAACTCGAAGGCAAAATTGCATTTTATGCCTGTAACTACCGGTGTGTGGTAAACGTGGACAAATTTTTTTTGGTTTGGCAAAAGTGCACTAAAACTTGTTAAAACGCGAAATTCGTGCCCGATTTGAGCATAAATTTCAAATTTTAACAAGTTACTGTCAGGTTTTGCCACACGAAAAATCGGTCAAATCTGATAACTTGTAGGTAAATTGGGCACGAATTCTGGGTTTTAACAAGTTTTAGGGCACTTTTGCTAAACCAAAAAGAACTTGTCCATATTTGCCACACCTGCATAGTTACATGACACAAAATGCAATTTTGCCAAACTCGAATGTCTACTAAATTTAGATTAAATTGCATAGTTGAATTGGGAAAACATCTGAATATGTATAGGAATGATGCGGTAAGTAGACATGGCCAAATGTCGACCCGACCCGAATTTACCGATTTTTGAACCAACCTTAACCTTTAAAGGTCGGTTCCAGGTCTTCATTTTTCTATTTCGACCCACCGATTTCGGGCCGGCTTCAAATCAAAAGGCCGGTCATGATTGATTTTATTTTCTTTAAATAAAATTGAACTGCCGGATCAGTTCTGAGCCTAGTATTTGAGGCCTGCCAACCCAGCGTGCCGTGCCGGGCCGAGTCGTGAATCGACCCGGCCTTTGTACACGTATAGTGGTAAGTATGTACTAGTATATATATGTAATGTAGCATGCCATTTTTTGTATGGGAATTCCCACAAAGTTCTTGAAGGATGTGCATGAAGTTTCACCAATCATCCTCAGTTGAAAAAGCTCAAAAAAATTAAAAGAGGGTAAAAAAGTAAAGAAAAAGAAAGAAAGAAAAAAAGCTCCAATTACCCAATTTACCCTGCTATCATTACATGTCCATCTTCCTTTTCCTACTGTCAAAACTTTCCTTTTATATATATATATATATATATATATATATATATATATATTTTTTTTTATCTGTATATTTAAAAATTTTGATTCTTTAACATTTGGAGGGAGTGGAAAACAGCAATCATTGTGACACAGCACCCATTCATGCCCATCTTCCACTCTTGCCCCTCCTTTAATCATTTCACTTTTCTTTTTATCAACCCTAAAAAACAGTGCTAAATTATTAGATAGGAAGAAAAAAAAAATTGATAATTTGCAAATAAATTGGACAAATAATGTATGCCTAAATAAGTTAAAATATAAAATTATTAATTCATGACAAAATACTATAGTCTATAATATCACAAAAAATATGAACTATTTAACTTTTTTATGTAAGCCAAATTGTTTAGTTTTCCATTACCATTTAGGAGTACTTCAAATTATTCGAATTGTGCTCAATCCCATATTTAGACTCTAAAGCTGAAATTATAATCATTTTGAATTTTGACCGCACAAAACAAGCTATTGTAATTTTCCAAAAATATAAATAAAAAAAATGAAGACAAACTAGAATAAAGTAGTATTTCCTTCATGTGTTTAATATTGTAGAAGAACATCTCCATTGATAAATGTATTGAAATAAAATAAAAGTTACTCATATCATTAAAAAAAGTTATAAAGTTTTGGGAAGATGCTACGGTCTTATTACAGAACTATTCCGTTGATTTTGAATGAAAATATGAATTGATATATTGTTTTGGTTTTCTTGAGATTGCGATCTTATTAATATCGTCTCACTCGTACGCTTTTTCTACATCAATTTCCCTTTTTGGAAGATGAAAATCACTCTTCAATCCATCATGTTATAAACTCATTTGTAGTTCATTTTATAGTTCAATGCATTTAGCTAGAAAGTTTGAGGTTCAATGCATTTAGCTAGAGAGTTTATTCATTCTCACTCTAGCCTACTTGTTCAATTTTTATTTTTTATTATTATTACAATTAAAAGTTAAAAGTTAAAAGTTAATTGATACATGTTAAAAAAAAGAATAATAAAGAAAATAAACATAAAAATTCCTAAAAATACAAAATGAGCAAGAAAAAGAAAAATCTTTTTATTTTTTTTTGGTAGCCAGCCACAGTCCAGAGCTATGTCTTGACTAATCCGTTGGTCGACTTGGGTCGTGACGTGGTGGGTGATGTTTTTGTCTTTGTCTGCACAATTTGAATAAAAACTCCCTTCAAACTTCCCCTTTCACCGTTAATCCCATCCCCATGCACACAGTCACACACTCCTCTGCTTCCCGCTTCGTATGCTTCAAATAATTATGGACTTCAAATCCCTCTTACCTTCTCTCCTTCTCATCTCAACTCTCTTTCTCATCACCTCTCCCCTCGCCGCCGATGACTCCGACACCGCCGCCCTCACCCAGTTCCGCTCCCAGGCGGACATCCACGGCATACTCCTCCTCAACTGGACCGCCGCCGCCTCCGACGCCTGCTCCGCCGGATGGACCGGCGTCAACTGCACCAACGGCCGCGTCACCGCCGTCGTCCTCCCCTCCCACAACCTCCGCGGCCCCATCGACGCCCTCGCCTCCCTCGACCAGCTCCGCCTCCTCGACCTCCGCGGCAACCGCCTCAACGGCACCCTCTCCCCCCTCGCCCGCTGCCTCAACCTCAAGCTCATCTACCTCTCCGGCAACGACTTCTCCGGCCAGATCCCGCCGGAGATCTCCGCCCTCCACCGCCTCCTCCGCCTAGACTTATCCACCAACAACCTCCGCGGCCCCATCCCGCCGCAGCTCGCCAATCTCACCCGCCTCATCACCCTCCACCTCCAGAACAACGAGATCTCCGGCCCAATCCCTAATTTCCTCTCATCCCCAGCCCCAAATCTCACCGACCTCAACCTATCCAACAACGAGCTCTACGGATTTCTCCCCGACGGCTTGATTTCGAGGTACGGATCCAGAAGCTTCGCCGGAAACCAAGCCCTATGCGGCGAAATTCCCCCTTTCCCCAACTGCACGAACTCCCGCGGACAACCATCCTTGACGGTGCCGTCCAGCCCGAGCTCCCTCCCACCGTCGCAGACCGTCTCGGCCACCAATTCGCCGGAAAATCACCGCAAAAAGCTCGGCAGCGGCGCGATTGTGGCAATAGCGGTGGCGAATTCGGTGCTTCTGCTGGTAATCGCGTCTTTCACGGTAGCTTACTGCTGCGGAAAGAGTTCTAGGTCAACAAATTCGATGACAACGGCAAGCGAGGTCGGGAAGAGGAGTAGCTACTCGAGCGAGAAGAAAGTGTACGTCAACAACAACAACAATGGCGGTGGAGACAGTGACGGAACAAACGCCACTGACCGGAGCAAACTGGTGTTCTTCGACCGGAAAAAGCAGTTCGAGCTGGAGGACTTGCTCCGTGCATCAGCGGAGATGCTCGGAAAGGGTAGCTTGGGGACCGTTTACAAGGCGGTGCTCGACGATGGGTGCACGGTGGCCGTGAAAAGGCTCAAGGACGCGAATCCATGTGCGAGGAAGGAGTTTGAGCAGTACATGGATGTGATTGGGAAGCTAAAGCACCCAAATGTTGTGAGGTTCAGAGCTTATTACTATGCAAAGGAGGAGAAATTGCTCGTTTACGATTACATGCCTAACGGCAGCCTCCATTCTCTTCTCCATGGTATGAGTTAAACTCCATTTTTCTGAATCATAAATTTTAATACGTTTCTCTTCGGCTAAATTGCAATTTTGGTTCTATTAGATTATCAAAGTAGTAATTTAGTTCACATTGCTATATGTCACTCAAGTGGGCCTAAATTGCTATCTTCATAGACAATATTACAATTTAGCATTTCTCTTCTAATTCGTTGACCTGCAACATCGATCATAACAGCAAACCGAGGCCCGGGACGAATCCCGCTGGACTGGACCACCCGAATCGGCCTCGTGCTAGGCGCCGCGCGCGGGCTCGAGCGAATCCACGACGAGTACGCGTCCTCTCGAATCCCCCACGGCAACATAAAATCCTCCAACATACTCCTCGACAAGA